ATTGAAACCACTGACTCTGGGCCAGGGGAAATGAACCCTATGACTCAGATGGGCTGAGGAAGCAGGTGAAGGTGTGGGTCGAGTCTGTTGACCTAACCCAGCAGCTGTTGTTTCAAGGGTTTCCTCGGAAGACAGTGCTTCATATGGAACTGTGTTAAAATGTTGTACTTTGTCAATTGATAACATTCACCCACTGTGGGCAGAGGTCCTTACTGGGTGGGTAGGCTGTGCCACCTCGATGGAATAGATGCAGTTCCTGCCCTTGGAGAGCTTACCAGACTGCATGTTGAAGAGGCACACTTGAAAGAGGCTTAAGATGATTACAAAGCCTGATACTAATGACTGACCCAGACTCATCTATTTCCAGAAAATGTAGTCTTGACCCCATTTTTAAAAACTGAAATGGGGAGGAAGTTTAGGTCTATCTGGTCTCCAGAAAGAACATTGATTATATCCAAAAGTATGTAGCAACATGGCAGCTCTGTTGAGCACAAAGGCACCGCTTCACAAGTTAGATCAGGAGGCGGTTGGGGTGGAAGGCCATTGTATTTTAATAAGTATAAGATAGAAGATTCTTACTGAGCACCTACTATGTGTTAGGCACAGGGCTGGTAGTCTCGAGTGATATAAGGGGACATGACATGTACTTAAGTTGCTAAAATGGAGTGGACATAGGGATGAGTGACTGGAGGGAGGTGTGGGTAAAATGTTGAGGGCGTTCAGAGGAAGGGGACTACTCGTGCGTGAGAAGCCTGGTGAAGGTGTCCATGGCAGGTGGGTCTCGTAGAACAAATAGGACCTGACCACTTTGGAGACGGGCATGGCCCTGGGGCTGAGTGCAGGGCAGTAACAGCTTCTGAAGCTTCAGGCCCCTGTCTTTGTGTATCAGATGCCCAGCCAGAGCTCCGTACTGACAAATCAAACATGGTACTTGATTGAAACTGCATTCAGTCTCTGGCCCCATTCATAATCCTCTCCCTCTCTAACCTGCAGTAGTAATTTCTCTAGGTTATTTTAGTTCATTCACTCGAAAGTCATTTCTTCTAGTAGATCGAATGAATAAATTGGTGTCTCTTTCCCCGATTCTCCCATGTCCTCCTTATATACACGGGCAGTTATCACTCAGGTTCACAAGATCACAGGCTTTTTTACAGATGTGGCATGGCCCTGCCTGGATGCAGTGATGGTCAAGGTGCTTTATGCTTTTGCATCACTCGTTCGCATGATGCTTCTGTGTTGACGTCTACATACTGGAGCCTGGAAGCTGTCTGCATGTCCTGCTGCCTAAACAGCAAACTGATGTAAAGTCTTCAAGGCAAAGTAGGAAATGGAAAGGAGCAAATGAAACCTGAGTTTGGGGGATGGAATTTCCTGTCTGAACCACTGAGTCTCCCAGCAGGGTGTTAGCTTCCCTGGGAGACTAGCGCCTCCCCCAGACTCCCCAGGTTTTGAGTGGATTCAACATTGCCACAAAGAACCGCATGTCACATCAAATGGTCAGATGGCAAGATACCGAAGCAAGTGAGACCACCCACCAGGAACAGATGCTGGCTTCGACACAACTGAAAATGGACGATGTGACTTGGACGTGGAAATGTCATGATAAGTGTACTTTTTAAGAGCAGAAGCACTCTGATCATAATACTTCAGAACCAGAAAAGGCTTTGACACATATTGGATGCTTTTCAAATGTCGTTAGCATCATATTCAAATGGAAAGGGTGAGTTTTCAGGAGCTTGCTGCTCCTGCCTGCCTACGGACAGATGCCCTTCAATGACTGGCATTTGCAAATAAACCTAGCTGTTACCACACTTCCACATAATGCTAACTCAGCTGTTCCCCAAACCATATGGTTTCATACCCATTTCATGTGTTTGGAATCCCTGCTGAAGCCTCATAAACCATTTGATGGAAAACAGAAACAACCAACTTTGCTGACTGCTGAAGACTTTAGACATCACCAAACAACCTAACTACTGCACGGTTTTTATCAAGGTTCCTGTATTTATGAGAATATCCACCTGCTTTTATTGTCCCTCAGTCATGCTGCAATAGGTCGTTGTCACATTTCTTCCAAAATCTGTTTCGTGGATGGAGAGTCCCGGACCGCCTGAGTTCGCCCCTTGGTAAACCTGTAACTACTACTTCTACGTATCTTTGCTGAAGTCCTTCTCTGCCCACTTTCGTTCTCCTCTCCGCCAGCAGGTCGCCTCCTGTCACACAAGGCAGGCTTCCATGTGGACTGCTGCTAACCATCTGTGCTGCTCACGGTTCCCGCCCCCCCACCCCGCAACCTGGGCTCAAACTGCTGCCTCTTTTCAGATGTGCAGAAGGAAATGTGGCCACACCCTGCATTTCCTTAGCCTCAGCTAACTGTGAATTTAGAACCTTGGACATAATTAGATTTTGTAACCTTCTTCAAGATAAATTAGCATCCAGGTCACCCTTCAGTATCTGTGAGAGACCTATGTGCACCTTCTGTTAAAGGGCATAAAATCCATATTTTTGTTTAAAAAATGGATCTACTTTTATGCAGCATCCAAATGTAATTATTCTTAAAGCACTTTAGGATCCCAGATGAAAGATGCGACGGCAGTGTAAGTTCTTTTTTTTTTTTTTTTTAAGATTTTATTTATTTATTTGACAGAGAGAGAGAGCACAAGTAGGCAGAGAGGCAGGCAGAGGGAGAGGGAGAAGCAGGCT